AACAAGGTGTTGGAGATTGCACGAGAAAAGGAAGGAAGAAGAAGAAGAAGAAGAAGAAGAAGAAGAAGAAAAGGAAAGACAACAGCAAATGGGGAATTAAATATTTGAATTTTTTATTAAATGGCCAATTAAAAACTCTAAAGGAAGAGGGAAGAAGAAGGGAGAAACTTTATGTGAGGAGCTTACACGTATACTCTTCATGCAATAAGATAATGACACGTGGATTTTCATCCTACTCATGCATTTCTTGGCTCTCTCTTTCTCTCATGATCTCAGTTTTATAATTTTACTTTATAAGGAAGTGATGACTAATGACTATGGAGGATGCATTCTCCTAGTCCTAGATCTAAGGGGTGTGTCTAGGTGCTAATTGGTTTTGTAATTATCTCTTAATTATCGAAATTAGAACATTTTTTGTTACTATACTGGATTGAATATCTTATCACTAATCAAACTACATAAAATTATATAAATGTTTTTGACTCCCTATCATTATGGTAATCAAAGTCAGCATATGTTGGTTAGATGTAAATTGAATTGGCTTGATGGGTTTATCTTTATCTCTTAGCTCTAATATGGTCAATTATTTGATAAAAAAATATATAGTTGATTGTGTTTGGATTAATTACTTTTTGTATTTTGTTTATCATAAGATTTAACATATTGATCTTTAACAAAAAAAAAAAAAGATTTAACATTTTGATTGTCTAATTATCATTTATGTTATTATTGTTGTTGTTTTATTTTTGATATTTATAATACTTTTTTCTTTCTAGTTTATTATAAAGCTTTGATTAATTTTGGGATTAAGAAGCTTTAAAATTTTATTCGTTATGAATCATGCATGATATTTCACATGTTGTATATTGTTTTATCTTATAAACATCAAATTGTTACACTCTAGTTTAGTGTTATAACTTATAAGCACTAAGCGTTTGCATTGCTAACGCATCTAATATTTAGAAATCAAACTTATTTTTTGTCTCCTAGAAGATACGACGCACACAAAGAAGATAAAAACCAATGCATATCTACTGATTTTGTGGAAACGGAAAATAAAGAACTAACAAGTGATCTTTTTTTTTTTTTGACCAACAACAAGTGATCTTCACTTGCTTTTATCGCATGAAACCAAATTTTGCTTCTATGTGAGCGCTTTTAAATTCTCCTTAATTTCTTACAAAGTTATCATCCCACCACCAGTCTAATTTTCACAGTCTAAAAATTTTCACAGGTTTAAACCTTTAGTTTTCACAGGTTTAATTTCGCAGGTTTAACCTTTTTAGACTGTGAAAACTAAAGGTTTAAACCTGTGAAAATTAAACCTGTGAAAACCTAAGAAATTAACCTTTTTAGACTGTGAAAACTAAAGGTTTAATTTTCACAGTCTAAAAAGGTTTCCGTTAGTTCTCAAACACGAGAAATGTATAATTGTTTCTATATCTACGTTCAAATGTTTTCATTTTAAGTTGTGAAAAGCTAGCACAACAAAAACAATCCTACAATAATAATAAGACAGGGATGATATCATCACAAGAGCGTTTAGCTGTTTTGATACCTTTAGATTTAGGTTTGGTGAAGCCTTCAGATTTAACTCGTGACTCATAAACTAATTAGTAATTACAATTGCAAAATAACATAATTATTAAAGACTATTTATTACTTTAAAACATATGATATGGTACATGCATGGACCTCTTTTTAGCTAGTACAGAAACAGACCACCCAATAATTTATTCGTCTCAGATACTTTTAAATTGTTTGAACAAACTAAAATAAAGAAAGAGCAACGAGTCGTCACGAGGATCGAGTCACTTAAAGCGACACCTTCTCGAATAATCTCATCATAAACTATTGTATCTATATTTTTTGACAGAAACAAACATTATCTTAGTTGATTATCATCAAACTGGTTCGACGGTCCTATCTCTTCGATACATTCTTGTGTGATTTATATAAGTATTCTATTTGTTACACAATAATATGATTAATAGATAATATTATCTAATTTTGTGGTCCCGAGCCGGATTTAGTAATCCACATGGTTTTGGTATATGATATGCGTATCATCCTATAAACTAATCTTGTAAGGACTGGGATCTAAGATGCATTGTCCCATTCGAACGCAACTTTAAAATGTTTTCAGATTTTTAGTAACGGATACAACAACCAAAAAGAAGAAGAAAACAGCCTTAAAAGTGTTGAGTAGATTAGTGGATGCACTAGATTCGTATTGATTTGTGAGACAACCTGAGCAAATCTTTTGCGGATGCAACGCAATAAGTACGCTTTTTTTTTCTTTTCTCAGAATCTGACTTTACCGTTTAACCACACCATTGTCAATGGTTAATTGGGTTACAAGCAAAGTAACAACACTATTCCAATTAACAAACTCTGAAACCAAAGACATCTGATATGGTATTTGATTTGAGGTTCGGTTATGGTTTCTATAATACATGTGATGGTGAAAAGATAAGTTCATAGAGATGACCAACTGATTCTACAAGGATTTTCTATCTTCTGAATCTTATCACAGTATTTAGTGATCACCTAAGAGATGAGAATTGTCCCCATTGGCAAGAGAAACCATGGAAGTGTGTTCTTCAACAGTTGCAGCTTCAGAGTTTAAGTTGTTAGCAGCATCAGCAACACTCACACCCTCGTCCTACAATAAGCGATGATGATTCAAGCTCTGCCTTATGTGTGTAAACCAATCAGAAACACAGGGTGAAAATTATAAGAGCTTACCGGTTTTATTAAAGCCAACTGATTCTCTTCTGTTTTCTTTGAGAGATCCCTCAATGTACCCTACAAGAATTGAACAATTCTAAATGTCAAACATATTGGCTATATAGTGAATAATATATGTGAAAATAGAAAGAGTAGGTGATGTATTTATATCAATTTGTGGATATTCATACGCACCCTGTTAGCCCAAAAAAGTCCACAGGCATTGCAGAGAGTCCTGGGGCCGGAAGGGCCACGTCGCATCATTGGTGTACATTTGGAACTAATGCCACAATGAGTACACCTACATAAGACGCAATCACGTTTAAAATAACAATATTTTTTTGCAGGAACAGTTAACTGGCAGAGAAAGAACGCACGATATTTCTGGATGGCCATCATCTTGGACAGAATCTTGATCTGTGCCCGAGTTATAAGCCCCATCTGTCATCTTTGAAGAGGTGAATTGACCTTTATTACGTGCCATTCTGGTAAAGATTAACAAAGGTCAGAGAGGCAGAAATGGTGACAAATCCTATCCCTTGTGGATGAAATAAACATATTATTTATTCCCAGTTAAAGCTAATTATCACACTAACCACGACTCATATATATCCTACTCAACTACAAACATATTCTCATATACTATAGCAAGTCATGGACACTAAGCCTGAGTCACTACATAAGCACCTACATGGTCACCAAACTTATTGAAAACAAATATAAGAAAAGTAGCAAGGTAGTAAACTAGTTGAATATGAACATACTTTCTTTCAATCCGTAGCACACAAAAGTGAGGAAGTTTTTAACAAGCCAGAGCATAGCCAAAAGAGAAGTAAATTTCTAGCTTAGCTATATAAGATTACAATGTTTTTGATCCCAGGAAATGTGGAAGAAATATGTCCATCCTCTTCAAAGAGTAACCATCACATAATCCATTTTCCTGACAGATGTGACATTTAAAACTAACTACTCATGGATTTTGGTAAGATCCAACTTAACAAGAGCTAGCTCAATACTAATGGTTCCGTAGGCCTAAGAAACTTTTTAAAACCTTCTGCTAACTAATTTGGGATTGTAACAGCTTTTTGGCATAAATTGGTAAAACTAAAGACTGATGATACACTGACCTTAAGGCCACTTCTTGGCGAACACCGTATCTTACTTTCTTCTCGAAACATCTAGAATTCCTCTTCTTCCGAAACCTATCCAAGGATTGTGCCCGTTGCGGAAGGTTACAGCGGTTCTGGTATTCTACAACAGGCTAAAAATGACACCAAAATGACAAAGGTGGAATCGAGATGATTTAAGCAGAATTTGAACACAAATAACAAAGTTACCATATGATTCTGCTGAGCTAGTTCCATCACCTGCGGACCAGCAGCAAGCTCAGTAGAACCACCCAACAGCGACAACACAGCATCCACCTACGAAATCGATTTCCAAAAGTTTGGTAAGACTAGGTGAAGCAAAAAAGTGCCCAGAATTGTGCATTCACTTGCAAAAAGAGGCAATCTTTACGTGCCCTAAGCCATCAGATGCATTCCATCGAGACTTCACAGAAACAGCAAAAAGTAGAATTACCTTGTCAGGACCAACAGCATCAAAAACGTAAACTTGTCCACGGAACGAGATCGTGAGCTGATTAGCTCCTTCCGGTGGCCGAGAAACTAGTAATTCAGAGCCATCGGAACGGTGAGCAACCAATTGAGAGCCATCGGGAATCAAATCGGAGGCAGTACCATAGATGGAGTCAGGATGAGGGATTTCATCCATATCGTCGTAAGGAATGTGACCAGACGTTGCGGAGGCAGAGACATGGTCTTCACCAGCGGAAGCAGAGGCGGTACCAATCTGGTTATTGGGGATAATCACCGATTGAGAATGGCGACCAAACATCGGAAACTGCCAAAAAGGAGAGCCTTTTTCACATTGATTGAAGGAGATAGGGAAGAAAAAAAAAACCTAACCCTAAGAGCAAAGGAAGAAGGAAATAGTTGACATCGAGAAGAGCAATTACAGAGAGAGATGGTGGTCGGCGCGTGTGGAGGAGGGGAGATTAGACCGTCGTCGAATTCACCCGACGGTAAAAAAAAAGTGACTTTAGGTAAATTCGCAGCACTTCTTCCGAGACGACCCGGCGACTCCACTTAACTGGATTTTTAACCAATCACCCCTTCTTTTTTCTTTTTTTATTCTTACAAAAAATTGTGAAATTTCCTTTTCCTTTTTTTTTTTTTTCGTAAAACTGCTTTCATGTAAAGAAAAAAAAATCTGAGAATATTCTGTAATTTTTTTTTTTGGGCAAACTGAATATTCTATGTATCTATAATGGTCAAAGGATATGGAAAAATATTCGGAAATTACGCGAACCAGTTTAGTTTATCAACAAAAAAAAAAGTATGCACGAAAAGAATGAATGGAGAGAGAGAGTGTGTTAGGAGGTCTTGGTGTGTTGTTTAGTTGGAGTAGTGGGAATGTTGTAAAGAAGAAGACCTAGGACCAGAACTATACACCCCATCGTGAAATTTGAGCTCAAGCTTGATCCTCCCGGTAGATACGGCAATGGTTTTGACATTACGTACACCGATAATGGCACTACAATAACACCAAAAGTATCTCGTAATTAAACTCATGTGGTGTCACTTAAGAGGCTTTGTATGAAAGGATACAAAAATGGACCTGAGAGCATCACAGCGAGAGAGGAAACGATTGCTGAAGATATTTTCACCAGATGAAGCAATGAGATGTTGAAAGCGAGATTGGTGGCTATATAGAGTAGTGGGAGTATAGGGGCACCATCACAGCCTGAAATGCTCAAATGGATCACAAACAGTTTTTGCAGTGAATAGATAAAATGAAGAAGGAAAAAAAGAGCAAGTGTCGAATGGTCTCTAACCAGAAATCTTAGCTCCAGTGTTGAAGAAGCAGCCGGCACCATCTTTTAGATAAGAAGGAAGGCTGGCGAATGGAATGCCTTTCAAGTTTGAGAGAAAAGGCAACAACAGGAACACAAAAAGAGCCTGCGCAAACACAACTTCAGTGATCCGTAACACTGAACCAAATAACAAAAACTCTTTACAAGTAGGAAAGAGAGAATAAGTGAATGACAGAGGAAAGCAGCTTTCATATGTTTTCTGCACAGACTCTTCAGGTAATGGATAACCATGTCTAGGTGGAATACCCTATTATATGGATTGTTTTGGCTGGGACAGATACATTTACATCATGATATTGTAGTAGATACCTGAAATCCAGATCCAAATGAATTTACCACAAATAAATCCAGTGGCTTTCCCTGCATCAGCGAGTTATGCCTAGAGTTCAGAAAAGTTTCGAAAGAAACACATTCCATTTTGATGCAGGGGATAAGGGAGATACCTCAAGACGCTTTGCAGCATCATTGAAAACAAATTCCTGTTGACAGACAAAATACTTAACAAATTGGGTGTTGGCAATAAAATAGAAATGTTCACAACTCATAAGAGAGAGCGACCTTCACCTTTATGATAGATGCACCAGCTTGAAAAGCAGCAGATGCTACCAATACAGCAGGCCATAAGAAACCAATACCAGATAGCGTAGTATCTGCACCAGATCCACTGCAGATGAGTTAAAAGTCAGCATTCACAGAAATGAAAGTAACACTATCACACAAGCTTCTCTAGAATCAGGGCCTTCTATCTGCTATGTGGATGATAAATACTAAAGTAGAGCCGTCTCCATTCATTTAGCATAGTAATTTGATAGAGGTGACTCTGGTCCATGAAAACTAGTTTTCATGGATTGTAAGAGCTGAAAGCACTTGTAAATGACTACAGATACACACACATTTCTCTACCCCAAGATCAAGCATCCAGATTCAAGAAGATAAAAGTAACTTTGGAAGAAGAGAAGAGGGAATGGCTACCTTGCAACCGCCACCACAACGCCCACAGCCACAAGGAAACAACCAGCAATTTGGTTAAGCAAAAACCTCCTGCCTAAAATAAGAAGAGCAAAAAGCAGCTGCCACACCAAAAACGTCTGCCAAACATTGGGAGGCATGAGTTCAACACCCCCATGAGAATAAATGAGCAAGAAGATAATCATTAAAACCAAAAGACCTGATTCAAAATGGGTATTACTGGTCCAGGAAGCATGGCTGCAACAGAGAAAGGAATCACTTTCATATGTAACCTTACAAATATGTAAAGTTCACATGATGACTATAAAGGGGATACCTGCTGCAGCCATGCCAGTGGCAACTCCAATAGCTTCAAGAAAACCAATGATTGCGAATCTCCATTTGGGTACAGCCATCATTTCATTTGTCACAATGCCTAGACGGCGCCTCGTATACAGAATGGTGAAATAAATGAAGACGTAGCTGCCAAAAACCATTCATTTATCAAAGCTCCTTAACCAACTAATTTTTGTCATAGCCACTAATCGTTTAGGTTACCCGAAAGTGGTGAGCTGAGCCATGAAAAATGGGTACTGTTTCATGGGAACCAAGGCGAGTTTGTAGAGCACGCGATTAGCTACAGCTAAAGCTACGATGACGACGGAGTTAACCACAATATGGTTCCGATTAGAAGGAATTGTAGACTGCTCCGTCGAAGCATTGACGGAAAAGCCATGTCTCATCGGAAAAGTAGTACTAAGGAAGCGAGATCTCAAATCGGACCGTCTGAGAAAACACGTGCTCATAGTCGTCGATCGGTAGGACAAGAGTCTTGAGCTACGGCAGCTGACCTGATAAATCGCCGGCGAACGAGATACCGTAGGAATCGAAGCATGAAGATATCTGATTGGTTGTGTTGTAGCCATGAGAACGGTATCCATTAGCGGGACTTTCTCTTCTCGGCGTCTGTTTTTATATCCTTCTTCGCTTATACGACAGCGTTTTGTATCCCTTCTTCGTAAGATGTCGTCGTTTAAACGAAAACGAGTTTTGGATTTTTATCACAAGCTTACACCCACACAATCGTGGTTTTGAACATATTATTATGTTTGTTTGTATCAGGAATGTGCCATGATTTACAAATATGACATGTAATAGCAAACATATAAAAGTTACCTTGTAAATTATAAGATTTGTTTGAAAATTTAGGGAATGGTAGAAATAGCAAGAGATAGAGCTTAAACTTGGGGTCTAGCTTGGACGATGTAGATATGTCCACCTTTGACAACACCTTCAATGTCTTGAGGACAACCATAGAGTGTCTCTATCACATTTCCAGCTTCTGCAATCGCTGAGAACAGACGCACTTGATAGGATTTGTCCATTATTAGCGGCTCTCTTGAGTAATCCACCACTACTTCCTCTGCTTCATCCATTATCACACTGCACAACTTAACCCTTTCAGCTTCGAGTTTCGAAAAAAAGACAAACAGAGAAACACACAAAACGAACCTGTCGTAAAGTCCAGCGCCTGCGTTGCCTTCAAGATCCTCGTTGTTTGAATCTGATCGGAATATGATTGAGGGTTTAGAATACAGACCTATCCTCTTACTTGGGTAACTGATCACCTGTACAACCCAAATTCCCACTCACTCGGTTAAGTTTAACTCAAATTAAGAGATGAATACAATCTGTTTGTTTCTTACCATTGGAGACTTGAGGTTTGTTTTCTTGGTGATGAAGCTCATTGCTCGTCCTGGATATGCTCCAACCAAGGTCTCTCCCAAACCCTTCACAATCTGAGAAAGGCAGTTTCTTGATAACTGCGTTATTGAATATTTTAACTCAAAAATGCAGAAAATGGAGATAGTTCTTTTACCTCTGTGTATATTTCTGAAGAATCACCAGAGACCGGATTGTTTGTGTGAATGACGAAAGCATAATCGCCACATATGACTTCTTGAATCAGCACCGCCATGCAGACCTCATCATGATCAAGCTTAGTTTTTTTGCAACTGACATAAGCTCTCTCGTTCCACTTTGAAGCCCAGACCTATGCACATGTGGAGATCAGGGAAGCACTTAGTTCCTTTAACTATACACAAACCTTCAAATAGATTTCTACCTTCTTAATTGCCACCCAGGATTGGTTCCAGCCTGATTCATCCCCATGATAAGGCATCCTTTCACTTCTCAATTTTGTCATCAGTTCATTTCTCTACCAAAGAGTTCAAAACCCAACATGAGATTCAAAGAAAACATGAGCAGAGAGAAAGACAACCTATATGCCCAGTTATTACCAGAGCCATTGGAGCACACATTTGTAATATAGCTTCTTGAATCGCCTTAAGTTTTGTCAGGTCTCCTCTGTTAAGAGAATCTTTAAGGGTAGAAATCCTGCGTGCTACTTCCTGCAAAGCGATAGATCCACCAAGAATATTCAAGAGACTTCTGGATCTTAAGCTCAATGAGAAGCTGTTCCTTGGATTACTTTTAGAGAGTTCCTGAAAGAAAATGATAAGCCAATATTTAAGCTTATACCTTGTTGGAATCATCTGAGAGTACATTCTCAAATGTTCCGAATGGAAGAGCAGCTGAGGTAGGTATCTTGATCCATGATGGAACTCTTTCTCGTAGAAATTTGATATTGTATGATTTTGAACCGACCTAAAAATCTCATAGAAATGAAAATCCCAATGGTATTCTCAAAATGAAAACATTTTTATCTCCAAGAATCTGATTTTACTTACCCTTTCATCGGTAAATTCCTTAGCTGAAATCACATAGTGGCCACAAAACTTCTTCCCCTTGGAGATCACTCCCCGTGGAACAGAGGAAATATAAACATGACGAACGTAGACATCAGAGTTGTTGCCATCACTGCAAGTGATATAATTTCATAGTTATTAACAAATTCTTCTCTGAGTGTAAAGAACAGTGACAACATAAGAGTTCGGTTACCTGATAACTAAACCAGTAGACTTTGTATGAATAGATATTGCTCTCCCTTCCTTCGACTTCAGATTGCTGAGAACATTCTGATCGAAGCATGTCGCAAAGCATATCTGCATCAGAAGAACTTAAGATGAGAAGAGACATATGAGTTCCCTGATAAAATGTAAAGATCCTGGTTCTTCTTTTTGCAGCATTGTCTGATGGTATATATTGGAGCAGAAAATAGTACATGCCTTGCTGTTTCTTGCTCTAATAGAGACATGAGACAAGACATCAATCATACTAGGAGTCAACACAGCTACAACACCAGCAGGGACCTCCTCTTCTCCTGTGACTTTACTTGCAATAATTACAGTTGGCTTCGAGTAGACTTTATTCTGAACAACAATTAACTCATTGACACAAACCAAAAACCCATATGCATCAGCCGAGCTGATAACCTGCCAACTTCTCAACCAGAACCATTTTGGTTTAGAGAAAAAATATGATAAAGGGTTCAGTAATCATCTTCTACATGGAACAAATCTAAATGTAGTTCTTTAGTTCAAATTCATGGTAAAACATATCTTACCAGCCTAAATTCGCGATTTTCCTGAGAGAAGGATCAAATCTGTTTATAAGACTTGATAAAACGGCTCCTGGCCCTGCTCTTATAACCTCTTCAGTGAAAACATCAATCTGAAAAATAAACAAGAAACCCAGATGGATAAATATATGAACTTTTAGACTTTCTTACACAAAGAAGAAGTTGTAGTTTAACTGAAAAGTACCCCATGCTTGTCAATACGTAACAGTTGACCAAGATATCTTGCAGAAGGCTGTATTAATGTAAAATAATGCTGACATCTATCAGCAAGTACTAGTTGTAAACGGTCAAGAACCGCTTTTGTTTGCAATGCCCACTGAACATCATGAGGTTTGTAAGCCTCACTGATACGGTACCAATCCTGGACGCAAAAGAGAATAAAATTTACTATTCAAACAAGAACATTGAGAGTCAAAATTTGAAAGAGAAACGAAGGGAAAATAATGAGAAGAAATAACATGCCTTTGTACAGAAGATGATTTCTTCATTGTTAACTGTAGATAAGCACAGATTCTCAAGCACCACGCAGATGACAAATATAATTTCCTGTTCCAAAGAATGAGAAAGCAGATTAATCCATACCTTACTCTTTAGTGTAAAGACTAATATTTGGATACAAAGGAAAGTAAATAGTTTTAAACTACAGAGATAATAGATACCGGTGGGTTATTGAAGTTTAAAGAGATGAGTCTCTTCTCTATTGTTGTTTTAAAACACGACTCCAACGCAATGTCCAGAAATAGTAAATCTTTTGCCCTCGTACGAGGTGCTCGTAGTGCAGGGTGTAACTGAATGCGAGCATCAACTAACTTCTACAGAAGTACATAAAAAAAAAAAAAGCAATCATAAGGATAAAATAAATCAACAATAAGAAGAAGAAGAATACTGGAAATGTTGCTGTTAGAACCTCTATTAGGGACTCAGTGTTCTCTTCGCGAACAAGCCTCTTAACTAAATTCAGTAGATCCTACCATACAATGGAAATGGCTGCTCTGTTAGACTTTTTGATGTTTTTAAAATGAATAATAATAGAAAAAATATCTTGTTGGAAAGATGGTATGAGGAAATTGAACCTGCAATTTTGGTGATAAACCATTGACAGCAAAGACATGATGACCCTGAAAAAGGAAATGAAAGGATGAGGTGTTACTCTTAACATAGATATAGCGTTCTTGATGAAATGTGTCCCAGAAAAATCAAAGTGACGGTTTGAAATTTGAATCATGAACTAATTACCTTAGATGGAGAAAGGAACGTATCAATAGCAGACTCAAGGTCTGCACCTGAATGAACTGCCTACAAAGGCAGGTACAAACAGTTTGTTTAGAAATTCAAGATACTGAAAATCGAGAATGGAGCAAAAGATTGTTGTGTAATGTGTAAGTTCCTGATATTATCGATCCAAATTGCAAAGCAATCATTATCTAATAGAGGCCAGAGGTGTAAATATGCTCATCTTAACAACAGTGTTGGGTTTAATTACTAAGCTAATTAACCATTAGAGTTTTCTCCTAAGATTTCTTCAATAGATCAAGAAACGAAACTAGGCTCCAGGTGCTAGCAGAAACTAGGGATGCGACTGTTATTAGAAATACCTTTAATGTTTTCAAGTACATTGTAAGGTCACGGATGAGTCCTTCTTTAGCATCACTTCTGAAACGAGGCTCTGATACTATGGGGCGGTCATAACTTGCAAGCCTTTCTTTTGTGAGACCATTAGTCTTTAGTGTTTGCCAGTAGGCATCGATCCTGAAGTCAGATCTCACATAGTTTAAGAGAGCCTATGGCAGAAGAATAAAACTCATCAGAGATTATCCAGGTATGTAATCCTGGGAAAAAGGACTGAAATTTACAACAGCAAACTAAACTTCTGAACTAGCTAGTTTGTTGCTTTTTAAAAAGTAGCGAGTTTTAGAATGCAGTTTCAACTTTATCTTAGATGTTATTCTTCCTCTTATTTACCAATCTCTAAAGTTAGTATCTTACTGCAAATGGAAGCATCTTTACCTCACAAATTATCACATCATCTGCGCTACTGTTGTTGTGCAACTTTTGGTGCCACTCTTCCATCATGCCGGATTTGCAGTGGTTATTTCTCTAACAAAAGATAATAAAGACAAGAAAATGTTAAAAAAGGGAAAAAAAGAAGTAAAAATAAACTACTCTAACAAGACTAGAAAAAGTTTTAGCTGCAGAAATGTTGAACTATATACCTGAATAACAAGGATTTCGTCACGGATTCTCTGCCCAACATCACCTTGACCTCCACGACCCACAAGTGCCATAGTTAGTCTCACAATTTCTCTCTTATTTGGTTGCTGCAAATATATTTTCTCCATCAAATTGGTGAATCTTTCTAGCGCTTCACTAATTTCCCTGCGGAAAAGGACTTAAGGCATATAAGGTCTGATCAAAAGAAAGAAGAAAAAGGATCAACTATCAAAAGTAGCCTATGGAACAATAGCTCTACCGAGGTTTCACGTTATAGTTCTTATTCCAGGTGAGATGTCTGGTGGCCATGAATCTCATCCACACCATTATACCAATACATCCACCTTCTCCTTCATCCTTACAACGGTCGGTCAACTCTGTTGCAATGTTGAACCTGCCAAGTTATGCTTATAAGAAACTTCACTGACATTATTAAGAAGAAAAATCAGGTTATACAGATTCATTCACTTAACGATTCTAGATACTTTGACTTACCTGTGCATCAATGATCTCTCAGCCTCTATCTCTCGCTCAGATATTTCATCAAGTAACCATTTGAGAATATACTTTCCATCCACGTCAAGCTGAGGAGAATAAACACGTTTAAAATTGAACTCACTTTAGTGATAAGAGCATTCCAACATTCTCATTCCACTGATGGTGCGATGAAGTTTACTCACCTTATCACTGGTACTGTCTGCTGATTTCAGGTTTACAATGAAGTTGGCTCCATTATTGTTTAACCAGTAGCCTCCAGACCATATTACAAATTGGATACCAACAAAACCGCCTCGTTTTAAATTTATATCGATAAACTTTTCCAATGTTAAAAACATAGATGAGTTAGTAAATTAAGATTACATTTATATCGTTAATCTAGTCTACTCCTTTATTAATATTTGGGTAAAATTACTAATCTCTGTAAAAATATTCACTGCATGCTTCACCTGATAATTGTGTTCTCTGCTCGACATATCGGTAAAATGTGTTTGACATGCTCCGTGAACAAATTTTGATTTCTCAGGTAACACATCAGGTGGTGGAATCTATTTAGAGTCACAAAAATCAGGCTCTTATTGAGAAGATTCTTGTAAGGAATATCTACAGAAGCAAGAACATCTTACCAACCACTCTCCTGCAGATGACTTTGCGACTCCCCAATGGAGAACTGTTGGACCTGCCATGTTTGTGGCAACCCATAAGCGACAACCTCCCTTAACATTCCTCTGGAGGACCTAATAAACAAATTACATAAACCATAAGCTATCTAGAAGTTATTGAAAACTACCAATAATAAAAATGAATGTATGAGCTAATTGTATTACAAACCGTGATTTCGTAGTTTCTGACATGAAAGCTTTTTTGTGAAATTACATTTTCTTGGCCTACAGATCTCTTGGAGAGTTCAACAAGAGTTGAACTTTTAACACTTCCATTTCTGTTGATTGGTTCGGCATATTTCTGTAACCATTTCTGAACATCATGCTTACGACGATATGATTGGTTGTTCATAGTTTGATGTGGCTCACTGGTTACTTCTTTCTCCACTGGTACTGTAGAGTTAGCCTGAAGGTCGTCTAAAGATATTCCTCTAGCGAGCTCGGTTTGGAGCTCTCTTACTGCATTGTCATAGTCTATCTGAAATGACACACATGCAAAAAAATAGAGACAGCACCGCCTTTACAACTCATAAACACAGAGATGAGCTAATCTAAAGCAGGAGCTACACCTTAAAGCAAGCAAAGACTTGCTAAATAAAAAAAATCAGCAGATACTAAATGGACCAAGTTTACCTGTTGTTCACGTGCAGAGCTTTGTGGTCGGCCCTTCCGGTCCCATATCTTATGTGCTCTTCTTTCTATCAGATTCTTCGGTATCTGATGATGAACATGCAGATCATTCCAGGGAATCTCAACACGGAAGTTTCCATTATGCTGTTTCAACCTACAATTTCCATTAGGCAACAAGGTAGAGACGTGAATTGTAGCCCGTTCATTCCTCACAAGTCACCAAGCATGAATCAGTTATAGAAAAGAAAGAAATGTGCACCATCTGTTGTGACTACCATCTTTCAAAACAAATTCAATGGCACGTACTCTTGGATCACGCAACTCAAGGATCACTACATAAGCATTCCCACTCTGCATTGAAAAGAAACACTTTGCAGAAAAATATTGGGATTCTAGAAAAACCTTGTAGATAAACAAGAAATGTAAGGGTTATGTAGACCTTCACAAAGGGAGTCTGCAATGCACCTTGCTTCGAGGAATGTTCAGATGGGACAAACCAGTTGCTGTAGATAACATAAGTCAAAATACAGATATTTTAAGTGTAAATTCTAACTTAAAGATCATCCATCACTCACTTATTTCCTTGGTAAATACAACCCCAATGAAGAATCCATGTGCGAGTGCAGTTCTTAAGGTGAAACTCAGCTCTTACACTGCTCCCATTCGGTAACCCAGTGACAGTGATCTAATATCGATACGGACATTTAAGTCCAGAATCTGATATTGTAAATTCCAGAAGGACAGAAGAAAGAACAGACCTGAAGCTCCATCCCTTCAATTAGCTGGAATTGTTGGGCTTTAGAGGTTGCCATGGCAGCTATTCATAAAAAAGAGGTAACAAGTGAGCCTCAACTAAACTTATGAATGATCTCAGATAGTGCCAAGAAAAATTGAAGTTCTAGTTGATGGACCACTGATCATTACTGTCATCTTGGACCAGCATCACTATATACTGTATAACGCATTCCTATTGACATGCCTTCTTTACTTATAATAACACATCAAAAAAACGAAACTAAAAACAAAACTAATAGACCAGCCAACTTTTTTCCATAAGTTTACCTTGTTCCACTTTTAGCTATCTTAACGTAGCAAATCTACAGAAGCTCTTCAAAATTATACACAGGTAGTTTCCTGCATCAAAAAAACTTCTTGTAAACAGCATCAATTATAGGTACAGCATAAGAGAGAACCTGAGAAAAGCAAAGACTCTGTTCCGTTACAAACCAAAGATTCTATATACTTGGCTCTCACACGACCACATAAAGTTGCCAAAAGTGCCGTGTGGCTTTGAAACAGAAGAGAGAAAAAGGGACATCAACCGCTATGCTTCAAAGTTACAGAATCATACAGGAACCTTCACAGAAAGAAACTTGCAGGAATCATATTCTCTTCTGCTTTGGTGAAGTAAGGCATCTGAAAAGGCAAAAAGACATGCATACATATAATAACACACTCCCACCAAAAAAAATAGAGGAGAGTGAAGTGAGCCAAGATAAACAATGGCTTTGACACCAATCAGTTCCATTGAGACAAAGTTATGTCCAAATATATATCAAGTGATTCGGAATTTTACAGATAAAGATCATAAGAACTCAAGATGAATCTTAAGAACTTTCTCATAGCAACAGAATGTCTCATTATGTCCTCGGGCCGAGAATTTACATATAGGCTAAATTGATGGCTGCAGATGGTGCTCAACATATAGAAGTGCTGAGTTTACAAAGTGAAAAAAACTCAAAATCTATTACAAAGGAAAGCATATTCCCTGCTGAGAATTTGCATCTCACTGTGTGAGCAGCTTAGAATCACATGCCACTATCTTCACTCGGCTCACATTCTCTTGACGATCGTCACTCTTGAACATTGCGTCCTGTAATATGAAGGTCCAGACGTTGTCACAGAACCTGTAAGTGTGCAGGTGCCCCTGTACGAGAAATGATAAATAAGAAACGAGATTAAGTATCTGATTGTTCATCTGCCAAAGTTTTCTCTTATTTTGAGATCCAGATATGAGAAAAATTATCTTCGGAACAAAGAATAATTCTTGGTTTTGCACCACATTTTCTTTTGAGTCTGCTGAAAACAGACTTAACTATATGGATATGAAAACAGTGTTTTTAAACAAGCCAAATTAATCGCACTGAATCAGAAGATAAATAATGTCAATCATCAGAAACGCTAGCAAAAATGTAGGCAAGGCTATCCAGATTAGTGAAGAACACCAAAAACAATAGATCAGTCAGCTTCCAGAAGAACATAGAATATCCAGACTATTAAACTACAACAGTCGAGAGTATTCATGAAATTGCAAGTATTTCTTGAGGTAAAACAGATATAAGCTCCTAATTATGAGCCAGATAACTGAATCCATACAGCTTAATCTAAAGTTAACACTTAACTCTAGCAAATCACATATGGGAAGCTTCAACCTATTATTCATATATGACATCCAATGAAACTATAAACTTGAATTGAATTCATGACAGTGTTAGTATTTCCTGAGCTAGCAAATATGTAAGCAACTTATCAGGCAGATAACTGAATCTACACAGCAGCTTAATATCAAGTTGAAATTTTTAACACTAAGAAATTGTTTGAGGCTCAGCTACAACCTATTACTCATATGACTCCGAAGATAACCGAACTAGAGCAAGATAGCTTAGAAACTATTAATCGTCTTCCACCCAATTCAGGAACATAAACAGGATATTTTCTTCTACCCAATTCAGTTGACTATTATTCACAATTTCACGAAAAGTTAATCAAAAATGATTAAAAGTGCAACAGAGCCAAGAAAATCACCTTGATAGACACCTTGGTCTTCACTTGGCTCTCCAGAGCTTCAGTCATGGACTACAATCATACATATATCAAAAAGGGAAAGAAAAAAAAAACCACAGAAACGAATCAAGACGCCAAGATCAGTCAAATAAAAGTTAAACTGAAACCTTGTCAAATTGAACAAGGACTTGGATAGCTAGCTCAGGGCTCAGCGTACCGCTCTGAACCATCTCGTCCAAAGTCTCCGTCAGACACATCCCGATCGTCGATCTCCTGTACAGCTCAAACGTCGCCATTCTCTACTTCCCAACGATCTGCCGATTCAAATTCGAGCAACAAATCGTCGAAATCAAATTCGCAACTAATAACAAATCGGGAATCTGAAGGTTTCGACGCCAAAAAAGATGCTAGATGAATCTAAGACCTCAATAGGAGATGAATACGGGATGAAGAACCAGTTTACCGATCGCCGGCGACGTTAGAAGAGAAATGGACGGTGGATGCAGGAGCTTCCGTTGGTCGATTGCGAAGGATTTGTCTCTTGGGCGGAGAAAAAATTAGGGGCTTTTATACCCTAGATTTTGCAGGCAACTGTATATATAGGCAGCGATAGATCGGGGCGGTGGAAGATTACGATTTTACCCTTGCGTTTGTAATAAAGTCATATCTGAGATTAGAAAGAAGGCCCAAGACAAAGGCCCATTTAATGCTTATTTGACTATTAGTAACCCGCAAATACAAATTGCATATATAATAATGTGACAAAGTCTTGATAACAAAAAGTAACTTAGTGAGAGTTTGAATCTAAAGGAGGTCCTTCAAGGCGGATATAGTCGTACATGAGACCATTAAAGGCTCCAGTGGTGGTCATGGTTTGTGTCAAGAACAAAGTGTTTTCTCCTTCTACAAGCTTCTCACTTGGTACATCCACATTATAAAGCCTATAGATTCCATGTATTCCATGTCTTGCAATCGCGTTATCGTGCCCGATTACACCCGTTGTGAACATAGGAGTACTCTTTTCAGTGTCATCATCATTCATCCTCACCTGTAATTCTGCTACATTTGCTGTTGCTAGTGCGATCCGGATTTTGTATGTGCTGTTTTTCTGCACATTCTCTAGCTTGAACTTGATTTGCCATGTCGTTTTTTGATATGTGTCATCTTCCAGTTTCCTATAATCAATTATATGTGAAGTTTCTTTGATTTACTCTTGTTAGATTATGTGAAATATATGTTACCTGGTAACGTGTGCAAAGAACCAATCTTTTTTATAATCACTGACGCCAATGGTGAACACCAAATCTTCCTTAGGATATAGTTCTGTGTATCTTTCCCATAGCCCGTATTGCCTAAACCTGCTTAAGTACAACCATACTTTAGGTCTCTAGTATTTTAAACAACTATAGCCTTATGTTTTATAACCGACTCAAACCACCAATGTTGTTATACTTTGATCATGGATTACCTATCAGGATGACCAATGTATAGTTTGTTGATGTATTTGGGATTTGGGTCTGGAACAAAGAACTCAGCTGCAGACCGGTCAGGTATCCCTATTTCCCACACTGTTGGCCCATCTCGGGGCGGTTCATACACGATATTGCCAACGTCAATGTCGCAGCCTGGTTTTTGGGTGCAGAGTGTAGCAAATGTTAAGTTAACTTGCACTTCTTGACACAGAGGAATATATAATCTTGATGATTACAAAGTAAGTTAAAGGAAATTTAACCTGCAGTAATGTTAATCAATTGTTCGTATTGATAGTCCCCAATCCATCCTGTCACATAAGCATTGAGATTATATTCGCCTTCTCGGATATCATTTATGGCGAAATAACCATCAGCATCTGCTTCTGTCCAGAATTGATAGCCCTATGTATATAAGTTAAATTCATGCAAGCATAAGTTCATTGCTTACATATATATTATTATATGGTCTAAGAATATTATTTGCAGGGCTGACCTTAGATTCTAATTGCCAGGATCCAACCTCTCCTGGTGGAGCCAAACCTACGAAAGCACCATTTGCCGGTAAAAGTTCATCACTAAGGAATTAAAAAAACAAAGGAAACAACAGTGAGTGGTTGATAATAAAAAGAAGAAAAGCAGAGCAAATGGTTGGAATGTGAGGCTTACTTGTCGCATATTAGTAATCTACCGCTGATGCAACCGCGCTTATTAGACACTGCAAAGTCTTCTGAAGCAGGGAAATCGTAAGGCCAGCTTTGGACTTCAGTTAACATCTAATTATACACCACTTCCTACAATGTTAGATAAGTTTTTATAATATGTACAAAAGGTTAAAGGTTGGTGATAAACCTGGTTTTTCGCGTCTTGCCATAGCAAAAGAGGATCAGAGGTCTTGTCAGGCAAGCAATTGAGGTAAGTAAAAACAGGACCAAACACTTTCTTCCATGGCTCCCCTGCTTTCACCTTCATCACCATGTCCTCACCCGCGTAGTGAGCACTCAAAAACATCTGTGTTTACACTATCACTAAGTAAGAACCCATCATCATAGATAACAGAACATGTTTCAAGGAGGAAGAAAGAAAAGGAACATACGGCGAGACTGATGGGACCAACATGAGAGGTAAGGTTCTGTTTCGACAAGCCACCTGATCTGAACTCATTGCTAGGAATGATTTGCCAGCAACCCAAACCCAAGTTCTGTGAGATCCATCCATGCACTTTGAGGTCTTTGTTCTCGCATGAATACTCATACTTGTCATCAACCTCTCCTTTAAACTCTTCTTCAACAGGATGAACAAGAAGAACAGCTTCAGGATAAGCCAAGGGTCTTCCTCTTTTACCCAATCTATCTTCTGGAAGTGGCATTTTCCTCTGTCTGTTATCAGCAATAGCCATATATTGAAACCTGCAATTTGTCTTTCCACATAAGTATACTAATATCAGTTTTAAGGGAAATATTGATTATGAACTTTATTTACTTGTCTTTACGAAGCTTGTAGACAATCCTTGTCTGAGGCAAGTTAAAAGCAGGCCATTCCGCTAGATGCTCGAATATCGCATATGAGTAGAATCCACTTACATTTTTACGCATTATGAACCTGAATTATACAGTATCCAAATCAAACTCTCTGCCACTCTCACACATAATTACACAAATGCATGTTACATTGAAATGAGATACCTCTTGTCAACATTAATGGGAGCAATACTGTCTTGGAGAGAAGAATCCCATTTCCTGGAGAAGGAAATCTCTACCAGTTCTTCATTTTCCACTACTACTTCAAAACTTGTGCCTTTGATCCTGCCTCAACAAAATTTATAAACATTATATAAAGCTTTAATATCTTATATGCTCGATGGAACGATGAATACTTACCGCTCCGATTTCCCTGTGGTTCCAGGCGCCCCTTCATCGCTCCAAACAAGGTCCCAATACCTGAGTTTGGTCACAACATTTCATATGTTGTAATAAGTTGTGTAAGCAATTAATAGACTGATCCATGTATATATAACATATCTAAAAACATTCAACATTACGCACGCACCCTCGATTGAAATCTTCATTGTGAGTTTCTAGTAGATTGTCAACCCCCTGGTAAGAGATTTCGGTGACAAAACCATCTGGTTTTGATATGGTCACTTTCACTATACCATTTCCCATCACCACCTGCATTTGCCATATTCATATATTGACAATAACATATAGATGAAGCTATGTATAAGAGACAGGGATATTACATGGCTTTCTTGGACATCCAACTGAACAGAATCTTGGTTTGACATCACTTTCTCTCGATATTTTTCTTTCTTATGTGTGTTTTCAGAGATATGATGTTGAAGCTTTTGTAGAAAAACAATCTGTGGATAGGTTTGATTCATCTTCAATTTGTCGAGAACTTTTGATTCTTCTTCAAGATTGGACAAGTGGTATCTTTAAGCTTTGAGCTTCTTTTTAATTTACTTTTTGGGTAATTAAGTACTGTATATCCAACATATTATTCCATTTGTTGGTGAATTCTCACGCAAACAGTTACTTTTGTGTACCCGTAAATATTTTCCCGGCAAAGTTTATTGAAAAAAAAACAGGACATATAACAGTGGTCACAAACCGAATTTTTTTTGTTGTCGTCAACTTAGCTATTCATTAGATTGAAACTTAAGGTACAACATTCCATGATATTACAAAGTTTATATTCCTAATTCGTGCATCCTTAGCTAACTTATCAGCAACACAGTTCAGTTCAACACAGGTCACAAACCGAATTTAAACCCCTATATTACATATTGTTGACAAAAGTAAAAAGAAAATAAATATCAATTAAAATTGCGTTCATGTGAATCCAATATTTGATGCTACCTGTCACTGAAAACACACACTGTAGTATTAAAAAGAATATCCTCATTTACGACTAACTACCATCTCACTTGTTTAATATATAAAGGAAAATTAGAAATAAAGGAGCTCTACAAAAAAAGTTTGACCATATACACTTTTTTTTTTAGAATGTCACTTTGGACTAAAATACCCCTACTCTCTATTTTAAGCATTTTTTGAATGATTTTACCAAAAAAAACATGTAGATATACAAGATTATATGTGATTTGAAAAAAAAAATTGATGATTTAGTTGAAAAAAAAGTTGATTTTTTGATGGATAAAGTTTCCTCTAAAATTATTAGAATACGTTTTCTAGCGTTCTACGAATATCAGAATTTATATTCTAAACTTTTGTACATGTTCTACAAAAATCAGAGTTTGTATTCTAAATTTTTGTACATGTTCTACGACTTCAGAAGACCGGAATACAATTTCCAAAAATCCTTAGAACATGTATTCTACGCTTTTCTTCATGTTCTAATTTTAGTCAGAAAATTCATTCTACGATTTATAACATGTTCTAAAAACGTTAGAAAACGTATAATTATTTTAGAATCCGTTTTCTAATATAATATAGATTTCAATTTCTGAAAAGTTTTAGAATTCCTAAATATAGAAAGTGAATCTTTCAAAAAGGAAACTGAATATTTATTAAATATTACGTTTTTATTGTTTAGATTACGATCTGAGGATGGTTAGAATACGTATTCTAATATTCTCAGATGAAAAAAAAAATTGAAAACGAAAATCTAGAGGGTGAAATCGTTTTTTAGCCCTAATCGTCAAAGTCTTCTTCTTTCACCTCTTCCTTTTAAGTCCACGTTGAAAGGTTAGACTAATTTGGTAGATTTGTCGTTGTTTTTCCCCGTTCTGTGCCACGTTTTGTCATTTGGTATATACTCATATGCTGATGATGTGTATACAACTGCCACTTGGAGATCATTATATGAGGAAACTATTAATCCAATAGGTGTTCCTGAAGATGAATGGCGCGTCCCAGAGGTTGTTGAATCTGCAAAAGTTTTACCACCTGAAACAAGAAGACAACCTGGTAGACGAAGAAAACGAAGATATAAATCAGCTGAAGACAAGATAAAAGCATCACAAGAGTCACAATTATCAAAAAAGCATAAGTGCGGTCGTTGTGGTAAAGAAGGCCATAATCGAGTAACATGTGATGTAGCAATATAAGGTTTGCGATCGTGATCTGACTACTAGTTTAAAACTTAAGTATAGATTCCCTACTTTTATATTTTGTTTTGATAATTGTTTTCTTTATCTTTTTCAGGATTATGTTGCAACTGCTCTCATTGAACGTTTCTAGTTACCACTATATGGATTTTGAACTTCTTTCTCATTTCATGATTATTTTCGCATTTTTTATTTCAGATTTGAATTTCCTAGTACTCTATATTTGAATTTTTGTTCTCATAATTGGAATCCCTACTACTCTTATGTTCGTGGTTTTTCTTTGAGTTTCGGATTGACTTATCACTAAATTAAGTGTATATACAGCATAAGTTCCAAGACCAATTTAACATAATTTAAAAAGAAACGTAAGAACCATAATCTCAACCTACCAAGTAGGAATTTTCATTTAGTTTATTGTTTATCGATGAGGGAAGTTGATATGTTGTGTTTTTATCGGTTTTGAGTCTTTGTTTTCTTTCCTACATCATATGTTTTATAGAGTCAAAGTGTGTTTTTAGAGTATTTTAGTCTTTTATCGAGTCTTTACAGGTTTTAGATTGCTTTGGAGGAAAACGAGCTGTTTTGGGTTATAAACACACTTTTGGAGATGCAGTTTCGTTTAGAAGTGTCATACGTTTGGTCTCAGATGGAATACTTCACACCGTTAGATCTTTCTGAATTTTTGACACAAGCTAGATGAAGATGTTAGCTTGATTTTCCAAGTGGTTTGAAGGAAATCTAACTGTGCATTCAAGAGTTATACCCAAATTAGTGAAAGACAGATCAATCTGGCGAAAGAATGAGGGTATCTGAATTATGTAAATAAAATAGAAAATAATTTTTTAAAAATTGTTTTAATTATATTTTCGAAAATATGAAGGTAAATTTGGGTTTTGATTTTTAAAAAACCTATTTCACCAAACTTTTTATATAAAAGTATATATGGACATTTATCCATTAAAACATCTTTTATTTCTAATTTTCCCAATATATAATCCATGTATGTATTAAAAAAAAAAAGTAATTGTATCCATATTTATGAAAGTACTTAAAGAGAGTATACATTGGTTAAAGTAGATAGTTAGATACATTGACTTCATTTGTAGTCAGAATCTAGTGAATTACGTTAGTAATGGAATGTATTAATTTACAAGCAACTCCTAAAGCTTGGCGTTACGTCATTCATTCCTTATATTGTTTTCTGATGCAGCATGAAATGGATGAGTGGGAGAGAATGAGTGACAACAAGTCAAAAGACAAAAGGTACACCTTTCGTCCACTTTGCTCTTTCTACCATAAACACACACTTGGCTCTCTTTTACAACCTGTTTCTTCTGTCTTCTTATAGTTCTTGCAAAGACAAAACCTATTCTTTCACCTTGCAACAAAATCACTGCTGCATTCACCATTTACATTAGTTTGAATAATGGGATGATGTACTCAACCCCAAAAAAAGCTCACACAAGTACATTTGGAAGCATCGCCTAAGTTGCATTGGCAGATCAACTGGTCTTGAAATCTAGCAATACAACAAGCTGAAAAAACTTCTAACCTTTTTAGGAATTACCATTACGTTGGTTCTTCACAAAATCACCATTTTTCTTTACCTCCATGAGAGTCACCTCGCACATCTAGACCATCGATGAGAAGGGAATATAACCAAACACCTCCCCACTCCCCATTTTTATTTATTAGGAAACCTAGTGTAAGATACAAATTCTTGGCTACCATGACCAAGGTGTAAATGATTTTATATGATTTCGAGAATCGGCTTGGACTAGTTATAATACAAATAAAAAAGTTATCTGTGCAACATCTGGAAAAGTCATGAATGAACTTAATCGACTTACTTCTATACCTAACTTCTGAAGGATCAGATTTCATGGGGTAACTAAAACAGTAAAACCAAGACGCGAGCACAGCTTTAATAGCTGTGAGCTACATACAGGTAGACCTTCCTTATTGGATGGGGGTTAGTGGGGAACAGATCTCTAATTTTGAAAAGTTTTTGGCAGCTTGGGAACCCTACGCAGCAAGAGAATAAATATCTAGAGGTACACAAGAAACTAACCCTGCTGCAGAATGAGAACACAAAATTACGCCATGCTAGCATCTAACATATAGGATAGTTTGTAAAAGGGTAGTGTGGTAAGTTGAACTAGCTATTTTCCTTAATTGAGCATAATACTTCTTACAAACTTAGAGATTGGTGGGTATTGGTGCAAACAAAAACTCCCTTCTCACAAATGGTCTAGACATGAGAGACAACTCAAGTACACCTGTCAGTCTTCAAACGGTGATACTCAGCTGGACTGTCAGAACCTTATCTCTGTCAACTGTAGCAGTTTTCCACTGCATTAACAAAGGCAGATGAATTTTCAGATTCATATTCATATTAAAAACAACGAACAGCCTACAACTACAAAGATATGCAGATATAAACCTGAAATTTATGCATTGCTAGTTTATGCAACAGCAAAGTACTCTTTTTGATTTGAGACAAAATTGACTTGCATTCAATCAATAAAAAAATTCTTAATTTCCCCAAAGTAAAACAAGTTTTCTTCACTTTCTCTTCTTTGAAAACATTGTGCAGATGCATTTTTGTACATTTAGAGACTGTGAACACAAATGAAACTATCATATAACTGCTCTCTAAAAGGGGCATATTCTCCTATCATATAGTTTTTTGAAAAGTCTTGTTTGACAAAGAATCAAAGTTGAATGACAAGGAACTAAAGATCACGCTTAAATTCTCAGAAGTTTCTAAATAGATCATCTCCATATCGAGAGCCAATAGTGAATGTTTAACAAAACAGGTCATGTTAAACAAAAAAAGACCATACTCAGACAAACTTCAAAACTCTTTAGTGTTAATTTGCCGAAGAAAAAGAAAGAACAAACATGATTTGCTACATTCCATATAAATTGGGTATAGACGTTCCAGGAGTTCCTTTTTACCTTAGAGTAGGTTCCAGTAACAATTTAATGATGCTTTCAAACTTTTTTAGAAGTATAACTAAAGAAGGTGCAAGAAAATGGTATTATTTGGTTTTATCTTATGCTCATAACTATTACAACATTCTTAAGTAAAAGGAATATAGACTAACTAAGTAACAATCAACAAATGACAATCACAATCCCTCTAGAATAAAAAGGATCATAAGATAATGTATATGTATACAATATACATTATTATGTGATTTTCATCTTAAGAAAAGAAAAAAAACTATACCCAAAAACAACACAAAAAGAAGTGTGATCCAAACAATTAAAAAGCAAATGCATCAAACACAAATAAAGAAGATGAGAAACCAAACCTGAAAACATGAGAGAGAGATCCACTTAAAGATTGAGAAAGCAGCTCTCACCAATCTGCACATGCAAAACCAAATGTTGATACATTACTATTCCATACATAGATTAGTAAAATTGGATCCTCAAACCGCAAGAGAAATCTAAAGGATATCACAAAAACAAAAAAAAAAAAAAATGTAATATCTGTAAAATCAAATCAAATTGCAGGTTAAGAGAAGAGATACACGGAATCAGACTAACCGAGGAGCTAATAGAAACGCGTCAGCTCAAGAATTTCGAAAATGGCGTCACGAGATCCCACTGAAATTCGAGAGAAAACAGTCGGAAAAAGCCGGCATGTGAGGCCGATTAAGAAGAAGATGTACGCTAGGGCAAGGGAGAGTGAAAGCGAAATGGAGGAGAGAGCAAGTGAGGAGGATTAAGTGAGGATGCGAGAGGGTTTTATATAAGTAATGTAAGCGAAGAATGAGACTAATTTATAACTTAAGTATCGATTAGTGCGTTAATCAGATTTCATTAGATTATATAATTTGAATTGGGGACATGTGCGTGCGGGCTTCCATTTCTCGCATAGAGCCGCTGTTGAAGCCGCTCATGCGAAAATACTAGTTTTAAACAAAATTAACTCTTCCTACCAACATTAGTTCTTTCTGTTTTTTTTTGCCGGTAATTAACTCTTGTTCTCTATGCAATGAATTGAGTTTGTTATTTTTGTTGAATACTAAGTTTAGTTGTCATAAAGTGAAAATACTCTTTTTTTAAATACGTAATATATTTTTTTTTTTTTGTCGTCTAGATTTATTATTAATTGCAAATTATGAGAACTGTTACATAGACGATTCTACAACTGATAATTCCTTCCGACCCTTACTAGATTCACGACAGACTACACTTCATTCTTCGTAATCTTGATAAATACCTTCAATGATCCACGACCTGGCGACACTTCCTTCTCTGCGTAGAATTCTGGCGAACGGCTATAATTGTACATTGCTGGAGATCTGTTGCACACTTGCCTCCATTAATCTGCAAATTTATTAATAAATCGCAATACCTAGGACTCGAACCCCAGACCTTTTGGTGTAGAAGCATTAATCAACTCTTGGTCAACCAATGTGCCAAGAGGGCTTCCACCGTAATATTCTTTTATACTCGAATGAATATATCAAAATTAATCTTTTTTTATCTCGTGAAAGATATTGATTCCATCTTTCTAAAATTTCCACTTCGTAAAAAAAACCCAAAAATAAAAAAATATATATTTATTTAAAAATGATTTATAGATATTTTCTATAGAATTTATTATGGGTTGAATTTGTTCATTATAAAAAATTCAGATTAAGGTTGATTTGTCAATAAATATTATACATGTGATTCTACCACTAAAAACAAATGAAAATGGATCATTTTGATAAAACTAATCAGCAGAGTTACATGTATTAAGTATTGCCACTTTGCAAAATTAACTTTTGAGAAATCCACTATGGAAGAGCAAAGAAGAGGAAGAAGAAGGGTATGTCGGTCAAGCTGAAGAAAGGCAAGCCGCCGTTAGCTGAACAGTGGATTTCTAGTAGTATAATTTTCTCTTCATTTTTTTATGTGAACCTAAATCTTAGACAAAGAAAAATGTTTAAAAGAAAACAGAAAAGAAAAGAGAAGAAGAGAAGAGTCGCGAAGGATGAAGAAAAAGAGGAATAGACACATGTCCAGCTTCCCAAATGGACCAATCAAAGTTAAGCTTTTAATTACTTGTCTCCTTGAATGAATACAAATGTGTCACGTTTCTTTTCTAGCTCCTTCTGGATCTGTCAGCCTCGGCATTTTACATTTTTTATACTTTATTGATACCTATTAATTACTTATTCCATAAATCTATATACAGATTTCGCTGGTTATTATTCTTTGAAGGAAGGACCACACGGATCATCGCTCTCATAGGTCACATTTTGGCTTGTCCAGTTTTTTGTTTTCTTTCTTTTGATTAAATAAGAATTTTCTTCGAGATTTTTAAGAATTATTTAAACTTTAAGAGGTTCTAGAACGATAGATTTTAATAATATTATTGCTTTATATATATTTAAATAGTGTAGTTGAGTTGAACTAATTGACGTAAAAATGTTTAACGGAAATGTTAACAATGATCAGTACGTAGTAAAACTAAACACGTTGCACATACGTTTAGACGTGAATCTGAAAACTCAATTCAAGAGGTTATATATGTTAAATATGTCTCATGTAAGGTTAATAATCCAAAATTCTCAGTTTAATTATATAAATAGTCGTTGGAGATGTTTTCTGCATTGAAAGTCCTTACACTTACATCTTGGTCGTGTTTAAAATTCATATAGGAAATTATTCATTAAATGATCGAAACGTTGATGTGCACAAAATAAAGGTTAAAGGCTGATATTTGGTTAGAAGAAAAAGAAGTGGCTACTGTTTCAAAATCTACATATACATTTTTACAGGGGATTTTTGCAAAAAGTCTTTTGGATCCGGGTTTTATCCGGGATTAACTATATTCGGATCTAGGATAAGGATTTTTAGGAATGTTGTCTTAAAACCACATTAATTCTTAATTAACACCTAAATTGGAAATATATATAATATATCTAAACTAACCATATTTGTTAATTACCTTAACTACTTCTAACAATAATTATTTAACTATTTATTTCTATATAGAAAGAATATGTGATTAAAATAAATATTTTGTAAAATATTGATTTGGGAAAAAATTGTTCTTACGAAAATAATTTGTTTTGTTATAAAAATTAATATTTGTTATTTGTAATTAAATTACATAAATAATAATAATAATTTGTCTACACCATCAAATGAAAATAGTTAGTTATTTAATTTTTTTTATTTAATATTACGTACTTTAAAAAAATAAATTCAACAATATAATGTCAATGGGTTTAATTCTTAAGATTTGAAAATATTAAAAAAGATACTAACCAAAAATTATCTATCCTAATTTGTTTCTAACAATTTGGACACAAATATTTCAAATCTTTCGAAAATTTAATGTGATCACATTTGTTACTAAAATCTCGATTATATTCCTAAAATCTCGAGAAGATCTTCCTTTAAATCCGCAAATTATAATTTTTGAATTAAATAAACTAACAATACGAATATTCCTAATATATTCGAGTACTAATAATCCTTATTATAGTATATTCCTTATCTAAATACTAAATCTTTTATTTTTAATTCTAATCAAAATTTATGAAATCGGAAATCAATCATGATTTCTTAAACATCCTTAAATTTCGAAATAATCAACAATTCGAATATGCTGAAAAATCATAACGAAATATCTTTACTTACTTAAATGTTTTAGTAATCGTTATAGCAAAAAAATCAATTCCAGCGCTACTGGTTCTTTAAACTTTTTTATTTACATAGATATTTTGTATTCCATAATTAACTCATTAAAATCTTTGGTTTAAATAACTACAATGTGAAAATTAGTATATGTAATAAATATAACATATAATATTTACGAGATTTTCATATACTTGATCCCCAATCCAAATTGGCGAATATATTATTTCTCATAAAATATCTTTAAAAGATTTTTTTGTTTCGTTTAGATATTATTCAACAAACTTCCTAAAACAAATGGAAATATCTTTAATTAGCTTTCCTCATTCATAAATCCCACCATGCATATAGACGTTATTCAGTTGATAATACAAAATCGAATATATTAGGAATCAAATATAAAATTTTCGAATATTTGCAAAATTGTTTTAATTTGTAGGTCAAACCTAAACTTCTCGAGTACTTTTCATTCATCTATATAAAGAAGATCTTTTCAACCATTGATCCACAATACTAAACGTTTTCGTAATAGAGATTTATATGGCTTCTTTTAAACAATGTTCTTAGTACATTTTATATTTCACGTTTGTTTTTTTTTTTTAAATTAACTGTCACCTACTTTTCTTATGTTGCAGCTTTCGATTTTAAGATCTTGGAAACTATGGACATCATCATCTCCGTCTCCAAAGAAACTATCAAATAAGGTATGCATTAAAAGGTTAGTTAGTCCTTCTTCTTATCTTCAGATACAAATTTTTTAATGTCCAGTATTTTTTTACATTTTCAGAATTTCATGTTTCCTCATAATGATTGTAAATGATTTTCTTTTATAGGCTAACATAACAAGTCCATTCTATTAATTCATTTTCTTTAACGAAAAAAGGAAACGAATTTGTTAATAAAATAAAGTTCTTATTCTTAATTTTCATTATTCTAATGTTATGTATTTTAATTGTTTTTATGATATATACTTTTACAAAAACCTGTGGATCCGTGTTTTGGTTGGTAAGTGTAATTTTTCTAATCTTTTAAAACCTTTTATAACAATTACATGTTTTATATGGTTAAAAATCACATCATATATATTTTATTTTCTTATCCAATGTATTTCATGTTTAATGTTTTCTAATACTTTTTTTATGTATATTTTGGTTTTGACTAATTTTATATATAAGTTCTTAATTTAATCTATTAAAGTTTCCAAAGAAAACATTTTAAATATAAGTTCTTAATTTAATCTATTAAACTTTATTAAAAGTAAAATATTATATTTATTTAAACTTTTTAAAAAGTTTAATTTTATAAAACGTTGTAAATATTTATAATATTAGGAATTTTATAAAGTTTCAAATATTAAATAGTTGAATTTAATAATAATTTATAAGAAATTTAAACATTATAAATATTTACAAAAGATACGGGACGATATATTACGGGTGAAATCCTAGATATAACAATCAAAATACTATTATGAATTTTGGGTCGATATTAAATGAAGTTTCAAATATTAGAAATCTTTGAATTTTATTGGAAAATGACAAAATGATGTAGATTGGACGGGACAGAGTTATATGGTCGCGGACGAGTTTGTGGTCGATATTAATACAGTATGATATACTACGGGTAAAATCCTATAATTAACAATCAAAATATAACTATACAATCTTAAACACTAAACAAAACTAAACAAATAATATTAACAAAACAAATAAAACTTCAAATTTTAAATCTTTTGTTATAAATATCGTCATACAGTGTACCATACATTTAAATCAAATAAAACAATAGCATATATCTATAGATCATCTTTAAAAAAAAAAATTTATTATTATTTAATAAAATTATAGACCCGCGGTGTACCGCGGGTTAATATCTAGTGACAATATATAGTTTGATCATCATCTAGTTTGATGTATTTAATTTAGATCATGTAAGGAATCTCTTCGTGTCTCTTCGTGAACATAAGCTAAGACCATTCGGCCAAATTAAATGAATAACAAGAAATTCATTCTAAATATGTAACTCGACTTTACAAATTTGTTTCCAGTTTGCATGCTTCTAATGATAGTTCTATTAAACCAAATCCATTGCATGTGGCAACACAATAAGCAACTTGCCATATTAATTTGTAAAGAAACCTAATTAGTAATTGATGAAATAGAGCATTGTTAATAATTAATAATTTTCAAAAGCAATATGGAAACTTTAGTTAAAAGAACAGATTCATAGAAAGATGTGTTGTAACTTGCACTAGTTTAAGCAATGAAAATTTCAAACTTTTACTGATATCGAATTTCTTCGTCGTCACTAAAAAAAATGTATAATTATATTTAGGTATATAATACTTAGCATGAAGTACCAAGTTGCAGCTACTTGGTTATATGTTTATGGTATTATGGACCAACTTGTACTCGTCTTTTTGCCATAAACA